AAATCCTGAAATATCTGTTAGAATTTATCATATGAACATCGGAAGTATAAAACATAACTTCGACTACATTAAATTAATTTTGAAAAGAATACAAAGTGATATAGATATAATCATTCTATCCGAAACATGGCAAGTGGGCGATGTGACTCTGTTTCATTTAGAAGGGTACGATACATTTTATAATTTTGGTAACCATAATCAAAACGATGGAGTGATGGTGTATGTACGAAACAATCTGCCTTATAACCATACCATATTTACAATCAACAATGAACTAAAAGGTATCAATCTAACAATGCAAATTGAAAATCGTAGAGTCAAAATTACTTGTGTTTACCGACCACCATCTTCAGATCCTAATACATTTATAAGAGACATAGATGAACTATTGAAAAACAATGAAAACAATCATCTTCATAGTCAAATATTTATAGGCGACATCAATATAAACATTTTAGAGGAAAATTCTATGGTGAAAGAATATTTAAACATTTTATCAAGTAATGGTTTTTTATCATACATAAATAAAGTAACACGACCCACCAGTAAAACCTGCATTGATCACTGCTTTATAAAGGATATTTCGAATATTTTTTCTTACATGCCTATTATCTATGAAACCGATATTACAGATCATTATTCCACTGTATTATTGATATCTTCACAAAATAAAAACCAGAACTGCCCAAGGGCAAAAAATGAAAGAAACCTTGAATACAAATATTTCACTGACAACTCAAAATTAATATTTATCGCACAAACGGAATCGTGGGACGAAATTTTTTTAATAAATTCTTTAGACGAAGCTACAAATTTATTAATACACAAAATTCAAAAAGTAATTGAAGTTAGTACTAATAAGGTTAAAATAAGTCACAAGGAAAAAAGCAGAAATGATTGGATGACCAAAGGACTAATAAAATCTGCAAACGAAAAAGAAAGACTGTATAAAATCATGAAATATTTACCCACGAAAGAAAATATAGATCATTATAATCAGTATAAAAACAAATTTATAGAACTGTTGAGAAAAGCAAAAAAAATTACTATATAAAACGATTGAATAATAATTCACATGACTCTAGACACCTATGGTCCACTGTCAATGATATATTCAATAAGTCATCCTATTCAAAAAACAATATTAATGAAATAAAAACAAAAACAGGACAGAAAACAGACAATATTCAGCAAATATGTGATGAGTTCATAGAATTTTTCACGAATATAGGAGGAAACTTAGCAAATAATATCAAACAAAATGCTGATATTCATCTGCATGAGACAAGACTGAATAATTCATTTGTATTAACTGAAGTAGACTATCAGGATGTTTTCAATGCCATTATGACTCTAAAAAATAAAAAAGCCCTGGAGTTGACGAAATTAGAGCTGAACATCTAAAGATACTGGCCAAACAAATAACAGAACCACTTGCTTATATCATTAACAAATCCTTCCAATCTGGAGTATTTCCATCAGCTTTCAAGACAGCAATCATCATACCTATCTATAAATCTAATGATAATACGGACGTCACTAACTATCGACCTATTTCACTTATATCAAGTTTAGCTAAAGTTTTTGAGAAATTACTCCTTAATAAAATGATTAATTTTCTTAATAAATTCAAAATTCTAAATTCAAATCAATATGGTTTTATAGCGGGCAAATCTACAACAGATGGGGTATTAAGTATAGTAGATGAAATAACCCAAAATATAGACACAATATACTTTTGGAAATCTTAGAAAGAATAGGTTTTCGTGGAAAGATGTATACTTTAATGGAAAATTATTTATCAAATAGACCGCAATCAGTAAAATTATTAAGCTCGTATAGTAAAGAAATGTTTGTTAAATGTGGTGTTCCACAAGGTACAATTTTGGGTCCTCTGTTATTCAATATTTATTTAAACGATATATTCAAAATTAACAGTACTGGTAAAATAGTCAGTTTTGCAGACGATACTGCTATACTCTATAAAGGTAAGGATTGGAACGACTTAAAAGATATTATCCAAAATGACTTTTGCTAAATTATTCAGTGGTTTAATAACCGAAAATTAACAATTAACTTTACTAAAACTCATTTTTTACCATTTTCATCACTATCTAATCATCTACCAAAATATAACCACCTTCGGGTTAAGGTAAATGATAAAAATATAAAAATCAATAGAGTTAATGATACAAAATATTTAGGAATTTATCTAGATCCCCACTTGAGATGGGATGTACATATTTCTCACATACTAAAGAAAATTAGATTCATAGCATATAAAATAAAATTTCTAACCGGTATATTAACTGAATATTATCTACGAATAATATATCAAGCTTTAGTCGAGCCACATATAACATATGGTATAGTAGTGTCGGGTGCTGCATGCACGACATACTTTAACGATTTAGATGTACTTCAAAGAAGAATTTTAAAATCAATGTTAGGCAAATCAAAATTATACCCAACTAATGATTTATATAATGATGCACAAGTATATGATACTAAACAACTTTACTTCTTACATACCATCACTCATTATCACAAAACTATTAGTGAACACGACATAATTAAACATAATCATAAAACGAGATATAAATTACGCGCAAAAAATGTTCCTAAACCAAACAAATCCCTAATGAAACGATGTCACCTGTATATAGCTCCAAAATTGTACGAACATTTACCAAATAATTTAAAACAATTACGCAATACATTAGGCTTCAAAAAAAAATTAAAAAAATTTATTAACACGATTGGGAGAAATCAAATTAATAAAATAATCTCAAATATTACACAATAAATGTTCTACCATTCTTACCAATAATTTCTTTTTTCTCTCTATTTTATTATATTTTGCAATTCAACATACATATGATCCATGCACAGGCGTTGTCCTCCTATGGATATATTATAATTATTTACTCGTTTCATGTTCCCTGTATTTTAGAGTAAATAAATATTATTATTATTATTATTTCAAAAGCGATGTAACCGGTGAACGGTTTTTCGATATTTGTCGATAGGCTTGTCAGTTGTCGCAAACACTATTTGATACTTTGACACTCTTAAACGTCGTTGACTGTGATCTGTTCCTCATATTTTATTCTTCATTTTTATTTGATTAATGAATGCTGTTCGAACTATTTTAATCGGTGAAGACAATGGTTTAGATGTGGCCGTATTAGCTAATGAGGCGAAAAGCCTTCTTCAACCTGTAGATTCAGAAGTTTTCCAAGAACGTATAGAACGCGAGCCTCGTGCAAAAGATTTTTTCTTAAAAACCATATTGTATGCTTATTAGAATTGTACTTATGGATTTGTACATCCGATTAGTCATTAAGACTTGAAATAAAACTACACATTTGATAACTTGTTTTATTAACGATTTGACTAAGGCCTGTATCGTCAGTCGTTCCTACAATTGTGGGGCGCGCTTATGGCCTCCTTGATTGTCATAGTCCTTTCTCTCCTTCAAAAATTTCTAGATTGCACCTGTTCCGTGTCAGCGTCAGCGCTCTTCTATTGTGAAGATATGTTTTCCTTTTAAATTGTAGGAAATTTCAGGCTGATAAAACATGATATAACTCAAAAACAAGCACAATTTGATGCAAATAGATATTTGTGAAATAACCTCAAAATAGAGCGCTGATACGGAAAAGTAGAAAACTATGACAATCAAGGAGGCCATAAAGGCGCCCTACAATTGTAGGAACGACTGACGATACGGGCTTATTAGGTACCATATTTCCTATAATCATGATGATAAACTGTGGTAATAAAATACGAGTAAATTAAAGCCATATAAGCTCGATTGCTCAATCTTTGGTGATCCGACTTAAGCTTTAAAATCAGTTTTTCTTTTATATGAGCTGAACTATTACTGTCATTTCTTGTCCATTTAAATTCTTCCGTGTAATACGACTATATGCTAGGTACAAGATCTGTGCTTTCTTCATCCACAAATAAAACAATAATTTTACTGCATATGTTGAATGCAGGAATAGAACGGACAACATTTATCATACCGCGCTCATCACAATACATACTTTGATGTTGTTGCATTAAGTTTCCAAAATCTTTCTGGATCTAAGAGTAATAAACGATCAAACAGCTACCATGGTAGATATTTAAACTATTTTTTACCATTTTGTAGCATGAAATGGATCTCTTAATAAATGTGATTTTTATACTTGTATATTATCGTTTAGTTATTTCCTTCCATTTTTCTCTGTTCATCAACTTTGAAATTTTCTCAACTTTGCTTTGTCAAGACGTCGGCAAAGCAAACACAAAAACTGAAATCCCTAGAAACTATATTTCATGTATCACTTGATCAAGAGCGGTAGGGTTGTTACGTAAAAAACCTATATAATGTCAAAAAAAACACCAATAAAATATCAACTTCTCGAGTAGGCTCACTTAGTACTTGCTACAAGAAAGCATGAAGTGAACGACAGCTAGTTCGAAGCTGACATCTTGTAGTAAAACCTACATGATGTCATAAAAAACCTACATAATGTCACTTTCCAAGTTACGTAATACCCCTGTGGAACATATTTTGGTTATGATAGAAAGAATGGCGACTGCGCTTAAACTGATCATGTATGTTCAGGAGAATACAAAGTATTGCTACAGTAGCGCTGCGTTGTGACCATTTTCTGACGAATGTAACTAATGACAAGCAAATAAAGAGCGGTATGTTCTAATGATTGTGATCATCCACTACTGAATTTCAATTTGAGCTCTCCACGCCATTGGCGATAACTGGCCTATACCTTATACAGCTAAGTGCAAAAACAATTGGAATGGAGCACTCTTCCTAATTGAGCCTGTATAAAAAGGCAATTTCTGCCTCCGCACATTTTCCCGAGCTCCGATCGGATGAGCTACTCCGTACTCCATTGCTCGTCCAATCGCAACGCTCCTATTTATACGTTACTAATTGAACACCCGAATTGATGAGCAGTTTATTTTGACCTGATAAAATTGCGTTACTCCCGCAAGCTGGTTGCTACCGGGTGCTGAAATGCTTTCAGGCTTTCAGACTTCAGTGCTCAGTGCCGGTACGCACGCGGTAACACTTCAGATTACTTGGTGTACGATAAACACAACACATTTTACGGTGCATGTGAGTTATTTTTGAGTATTTTATGGTTAGTTCTGTTTTCTTTAACGCTATTGTTGAATCACGTTTTATCATTTTGTCATACGCGTTCGTCTCAGTATTCTTTCCGGTATCTTTTTATTTGCTCGAAAAATGGCTTGGTCCAGCACTCGATTACCAATTCCAACGACTTGAATCATGATTTACCCGATTTTAGTCGATCCTAAAGGTGTTCATTAGTTTACCTCTATGTAGTCACGCTAACTCCACCCGTTTATACTTATTAATTAGAATGATATTAATTTATACAAAGAAAAACAGTGGCCAACTTTGAGTGTATGTATTTGTTTATAAGATAAAAATGCCAGCACCTTTGGAATGAGATTATAGGGTACTTAATATTATTTTTTTGTAATACAACAGTTCTTTAGACTGATTCTCCCTCCTTCGCGGTGTATTCAAAAAACATTGTAGCTTCATTGTTATGCGAGACGGCATTGTTGCAAACAAGATGTCTAGAACAAACAGTTACAAATTTGAAAAAACTACTGGATGAATCTATCTGATATTTTCAACTTCTTTCAATTTGGTCATCGACTTTTGTATTCTTTGTTCGTTGTTTAATACTTAAATTTAAACCTGCCTTAGAAGGTTTCTCAGTAACGTGTCAACCTAATAACTAGTTTCAATCGCCAGGATTATTCAATATAAAAGATAAGTTACTTATTTTTCATATTTTCAACTTCTTTCAATTTGGTCATCGACTTTTGTATTCTTTGTTCGTTGATTAATTCTTAATTTTAAACCTGCCTTAGAAGGTTTCTCAGTAACGTGTCAACCTAATAACTAGTTTCAATCGCCAAGATTATTCAATATAAAAGATAAGTTACTTATTTTTCATAAGTGTACACAGTGTGTTTGTTCTATGTGAAACCTCCTCGAATTTTCTACATTTTTTGTATAACCTTAGTTCCTAAATATCTATTTTTTTTGTACTCCAACTACCACGAAGGCCGAAGGCCTAAACACTTATTGGATACCGTGGGGCCATATGGGCAGGGGAAGGGGGAACGCTACTCGGACTCTGGCGAGGGAAAACGTGTGCATGCAACATGCACACATTCTGTCTCCGCCTACGAGATCTGCCAGGTGGTACCTCCGCGTTCGACAGTCAGAGACCGTCTACCACCTACGGACAATCACAACATTCATAGCAAAGAGAAACATTTGTCCTGGGACTGGATTCGGACCCGCATAGCGCACGGCGACTGGTAAGGGGACCGAAGAGTCTACTACTGCGGACACCGTTGCTGCCTATAGTATCTAGAACGCCCTTTGTCTTGTTCTCTCTGCAACTGCCCTGAAAGAAATTTCTGCAATTATGCTTTCTTGTTAAGCTTTATTTGTAAAAGAAATTCAAAAGACTTAAAAGAAGTACTGAGACTTAAAAATTTATTCAGATATTGTTTCGTTTTCTTTGAAGTTACTGAACATTTTACTTAACTGTTATGGTTTCTTCCCCAAACACTCGATGTTACTAAACCTAAAGGCTGTGGTTGGAAAAGCCATATCTATTCTCGGGACGTACATACAAACATACTAGGCACTTCTTATGATTCAAAATTAGTTCATCGTTTCAGACTGTCACTGTCCTCCAAATAGCAAAGCGGACCAGCGGATCAGCCATCATTTTTGCTCTGAATACATACAGTAAACCAATCATTGACGGAATTCATGTTTTTATTTAGTGACTTGTTACAATTGTTTGTGAGACACGCTAGCTTTCATCATCGCACAGCTTCTTGAATTTAAACAAGGCACGATACACTAATATTTGTGAAACAAGGAAGCTGAAATCAGACAAAACATGTTTTCTTTCATGAAACACATTCAAAACACTTTCATGATTGGTTATGGTAATTATTGCGAGTGACTATTATTGACGCAGTATTTTGAGAGAGCTATGAAGATTTCTTTGGATAGTAATTTTGAGTTTTATGATTTCCGGTATTGTTAAGCATACTAAAAACAACTGAAAGTGGCAATAGAGATTGCCTGCTTCTCTCACTAAGTACTTGAATAGCATTTGGGAGCGCAGGAAATTTGCCAAACCTCCACGTTATTTTTTCATAGATTATATGCATTCTGGGCGCTTCTGAGCAAAAGCTCAGATCCTGATCATTTTTGAGGGTTACATTTTAAGCAAGGGTTCACATTTGTAAATTTTGAGCATTTTAAATATGATCAGGTCACACCCAATTCGATAGTTTTCTTTCTTCTAATTAATTGCAATAATAATTTATTATAACAAAAATACGCGCCTGTGACATGGAGAAGTTCTATTCTATTCGCCATTGTCCATCAGAGCGGCCCGTGGGACCTTAACTCTTTGTTAAAGTATCGTAGGTCAGTAGGTCTGTCAGGTCTGGTTGTCCAGATACCAGACAGTCAGGGAGAACGAAAGAAGAAAGAAAGGAACGAAGGGAGAAGGGCATCAAAGGGGTGCCTTGCTATTGTTAACTGGTATTCGGTTATTTTAAATTGATCCATAAATTAATTTAAGAATTTGTATATATGGCAAAAAGCATAATTCCGGTTGGACCTAGAATTGCACTACTTGATTTTCATCACAGTGCGAGCCGCGGTCTTTTGTGCTTGCGAACTTGCTCGGCTGTGTGGTCTACTGACTCTCGCAACTGAGTGTTGCTGTGCGATTCCGCTTGACTATAACGTAACTGCGTCTCTTGTTTAATGTATTCCCTTAGGATGTCGATGTACCTGTGAAGGGTCTCGTTGGAGACCGTGGTACGTTAGTGATGATTTGCAATGTTCTGTTTTGCAAAACCTGCAGACTATGTATATGCGTTTTGGCGAGAAAACACCATGCTGCACATGCGTAAGTGATTGCTGGTCTGATAGCCATCTTGTATAGACGAACTTTGTTGACCAAACCTAATATATATATATCACCCTGTATCCGAGTAAATGAGACCACAAAATTTATCTACTAATGTTTCGCCTGCTGGGGTCTCTAACAGAAACATGATTCAAAGGAAGTAATCTAGACTGCGAATTATGGATGAAGAGAAACATGTAGGTGGAACCCCGGCAAACAGGATACCCAGGTCAAAGCGAGTTCTCAGTTTAACGTCCAAGCCGTGAATCGACCACATGGGAAAAGTAAATAGACATATTTGTCTAACCTTCTTCAAGTAATCATTTTCAAAAAAATCCACGTGCTTATCTAACAACCTTGACAAAAATATAAAGTTTGCTAGATATGTGTGCTTATAAATCCAATTTTATATTATCTACACACTCGGATTTCCGAGGCAACTCATATTTAAGGACTTTCTCAATCATATAAATGCAGAGGATGGAATAGATGGATTTAAGAGAAACAATTTAACCCGTAAACAAGTCTTTGGACGAAGCAGATAAGGGCAAAGTGAATACTATAGTCTCCCGTAGCCTTATTATTGTTGTTGTTAGTGAATCAAAGGGAAACAAATCAAGGTGCGTGGTCAGAAAACTTCGATATAACGTCGGTTCAAAACTACGAGTTGATAAAAACAACCCTTATAATGTGTAATATCAGTGTTGTCGTGCAAAGTCTTCAGATTTTGGGAGGGTATATGATTGTTATGTTCAGCGTATATTATATTTTTGTATTAAATTTATCCTAACAGTTATGATATGTATTCACTTCGCAGCGGGGTCCGGGCAAAGTGAATGATTTGCATTCTTTTGTTCTTCGCTATCCACGTTCTTTATAGCTTTAGAACTATGTTCTATTTTTGAAGCCTGATAAATGAATCATGTCAGTTATTTTCCTTGATTCTATACCAATTAATGTTCCTATTCTGATATCAAAAAGCCTAAGATCTTTACTTTGTTCATGTCTCCCCTGGGAATCTAGCATGTCCACTTGGCCAGCCAGTGTAGAATTTTGAACAAATTAGACATTTATGAAAGCGACTAATGATAATACAATATATATATATATATACCATAAATAGATTGTACAAATATTACCAGCGCATTCAGCTTTGTTATAGATATTATTTCTGTTATCCATTCCATTATTCCATTGAGCTTACTGAAAGGTATGTGGTTCCGGATCATTTACATTTGTATAGGGTTTTATGACGGAAATAATTATGTTAATCATACGAGCGCCAAAATATTATGAATACTTGTTTCATGTATCTATGATTCTAGGAACAATATTAGCCATCAGGTATTTTAAATTGCTGCCATCTGAACAATTATCAGTACCAACCCAGCTAATAGGGCGAGATACGGTTTCATTGCTTTTATTTAGGAACAGGATATATTGGGAAGTATCTGGTTCCACGATCGACAAAGTTGATGGCGACTATCTACCTCTGAAGAATCTAAACTTATATAGCTATTTGAATTTGTAGGTCTGCTGAACTAATTTCGAATTATGACCTCACGCTTCGCGAAAACCGAGTTAAAAATACTAAACGTGAATCTACAGGGCGCGGGGTCATAATCTACTTTTTTTAGAACCTAATAAAGCCCACTGTACGAATCGGAACTTTTTTTGTATTATAGGTGCATGCCTAAATTTTTTATTTACGTAGTTTAGAAGATCAAATCAGATAGGTGACGTCCCTCATTTTCTATACACTGAGTAAACCGATTTATATGTTGACAATTTCCTTTTGGATGTTGGTTTTCAAATCTTGTAGGGTCCTTGGACGGTTCCTATAAACATGGAACTTCAAAATACCCTATAGAAAATAATCACAAGAAACCAAACCTAAAAACCTCTCTCTCCAAGTCAGCCCTAATTGAGATGAGGCACTCTGGGAAGTGTTCCCTCAAAACAGCCATCGATGCTCTTGAAGTTTGTGCCGTTGCACCGTCTTGCCGGAACCAAATGTCCAACTAATCTAGCTTCATTTTCCTTGAAGAATCATTCCAGATGAATAAATTGCACACCACACTGTGACCTTAGGTGAATGCAATGGTACTTAATGCAATTCCCAAGGATTGATGTCAGCCCAGTAGCGCATGTTT